GTTCTTTTAAAAGTTTTGAACAAAAATAAATTTGCAAAATAATTTCTTTGATTTTAATTTTCTTTTTTCAAAATCTTGAAGAAAAGGTAATTAAAAAAAAAAAAATTCTTTTATAGTAATTATCCGTTTCTAAAATCTTGAACATAAGAAAATTATGAAAGAATGTTTTATAGTCGGTTTCCATTTTTCAAATCCTAAAAAAATATATTTGTAAAATAATTATTTCAAATATTATTTATGTTTTTTTTTTCTTAAACTGATGATGATTTTTAATATATATACTAAGATAGTAATTTTTTTTTGAAGATATTAATTTTAAAATTTTTTAAAAGTAAAAGACAAAAGAAGTTAAAAAGTTTTTAATTGTAATTTTTATTTTCACAAATCCTAAACAAAAAAAATTAAAATAATAAAAGGGATTTTTTTAACATATTAATTTTAAATATTTTTTAAAAGTAAAAAATAAAATAAAAAGTGTTTAATTGTAGTTTTACTTTTCATAAATCCCTAAAAAAATATCTGTAAAATAAGTTATAATTACTAATTGATTTTTCTAAAAGCGTAAAGAAAAAATTACTGTAAAAGATTATTTGATAGTAATTTTCAGTTGTAAAATTTTTGTATATGTTAAAATTAATCTTTATTAACAAAATATATATACTAAGATAATGAAAGCAACTTTTACAATTTTTAGAAATTATTTACAATAGTAATGTTTCTAAACCATTTTCTTTTAAAGCATTTTAATGAATTGTTTTTTGCAAAATCCTGAAGAAATGGTCGTTGGAAAACATATTTGATAGTAATTATCATCTTCTAAAATCTTGGACATAATAAAATTATAAAAGAATCTTTAATAGTAGTTTTCATTTTTTTAAAATGCTAAAAAATAATATTTTTGAAATAACTATTTCAAATATTTTTTATATGTTCTTTTATGCTTAAACTGGTGATGATTTTTATTGTTGTCATATTTTTCATGTTGTCATATGTTTGTTATTGCAATAGTTATACTTAGGTGTTTGTATGTAGTATTTTGATATTGTATGTAAGTTAATATGTCTAGTATGCATATGTGTGTTATTTTTATCGATACTATAAAATTATTTATGCTGTTGTAGGTAAGTTAATATCAATGTCAATTTGTTATCTTTATGTACCATTGTGCTTATGCCTGACTATTAAATTATTTAACTAAAGAAAACTAACTGTAAGAATAGCAGTGATACGAATTGTAAAATAGTAATTTTAAAATCATTTAATAGTATTAAATAATTATTTGATAGTAATCAAATTTTATGAAATTCTAAATAGAAGATAACTGCAGATGATTGTATGATAGTAATATTTATTTTATAATTTTTTTTAAAAAAAATGTAAAATAGTATTTGATATTATTATTTTTAATTATAAATAAAAGAATTTATAGAATATAATGTTTTCTTTCTAAAAATCATAAGAAAACGATTTTTTTTTTTTAAAAAAAAACTATTTAAGAGTAATTTAAAACATAAAGATTTTGATGATAAACATGATACTAAAACAATTTAATTAATAAAGAAATAAAAATAGGAGTTTGTCGTGATTAGTCTTTAATTGGTTTTTGTATGTGTTTGGTCTGCAAAAAGCAAACACATGTTTGATATTTTTGTGTTTAGTCATAAAAATAGATTCTTATTATTATCACCCTAAATGATCTTTATATGTATTTATACAAAATTAAATCAATTTTTATCGTCATCTTATTCATTTTATTAAAATGTTATTAAGAAAAAAATATATCATTAAAATGAATTCAGTAAATTATTTAATAACATACTATTTTAACAAAAATTTCTTATTGTTAGTTGGAAATGAGAAACAAGTAATTCGAAAATAACTATAAATTAAGTACACATAAGAAAAATTAAAAATTCGAAACTGGAAAAAACTAAAGAAATTTTTTGAAATGCTATAACTTAAATACTATTTTTAATACTACATAAAAAGCGTATAACATCAGAATTTATGGTTTAGTATTTAGGGTGTAATATTTAAGGGATGAAAATAAATTTATAAAGTTATATAAAAATTCCAAATGATATATGATATTAGAGGTAATTAAGAAGTTCTTCTAATTTTCATATAGTTCAAGTGAAATTAGAAGAAATTCTTAATGATCTCTAAGATCGTCTTCTTTAACCTTATTACAATATATAATAAAATAATTAATTTATTTGTTTTAGGATTTTTCCTCGCAAAATTATAAATTTTGTCTTCATAAAAACTATGGTTAAGAAATTATTTTATTATAAACTGTTATTCACACAATCGTTAAACAGAATCTTCAACATGCACATAAATTTTTGTGGCTATATGATACATGTATTGCTGGTTTTATTATCACTAATTATGATAAAAATGATGATCAAAGTTATTTCTATGGTTATATAAATAAAAATTCAAAATCATGTAACCTAAAAATATTGATGGTCACAAATGTATAAAAAGTTTAAAAAAATCCTTATAGCGACAATAAAAATTTCACTAAAATGACCAATAAACGTCAGAATATATTTAAATAATAAGAATAACATATTTAACATCAAATAAAACAAACATTGAACTGGTACATAACAAGTGTATGATATGTGTATGATATTGTCATTAACTTGATTGACCTTATTTAACTTTCAATTTTGTTTTATTTCACTCTAATTCTTAATTTATATTGACTTGATTTAAATTTTTAGATATGAGTATTTTCTCTGACCTTAAATATAAAGTTAAAAACAATTCACTTATATGCTATGATTATTAAAATACAAATATTAGCATATATGGGTAAACAAATTTTAAATTCTGAAATATCTCACACAACATATAAAAATAATCCTAAAATATAAAATAATTCATTATTTTATCTTTTTTTTTGTAAAATTAAAACATTAAATAAAATCTGCGTTGATTAAAATACAAATACTAATCGGAATTTTATGGGAAAAAATCTCACACAACATATGCAAAAAAAAATCTTCAAAGTATAACATGAATTATATTTTATAAATATTAAAGTATCAAATAAAATTCGTGCAACGTACGGATCCTATCTAGTTCAGTAATATAGATTAAACTTGAAAGGCTCCCATCTGTGTGCTCATCTTCCAATCAAATCACGTTTCTCGAAAAATTTGAGGTGTATATTTACTTTATGTTGCACTCACACATGATGACAAAGCTAGTTAATATTTTATACTTACTAGCTAGTGGTATTTAAATCAACAAAGCTTGCTAATTACTAGTGGTATTCAATCAACAAAGCTTGCTAATTACTAGTGGTATTTAATCAACAAAGCTTGCTACATGTAACGCATTTTAACCAAATTTATAACTGAAATTTAATGGAAATAAAAAAACATAAGTTAGTTATTTTAAAAAAACTGAACTACCTGAATACCTCCGAACCAATCTCTTTTTGGTTGAATTCGTTGAAATTTTGGCTGAACCGAACTACTCGAACCAACAGGCCTATTTGTTTGGTTCTCACGTAAAATGTTGTGTTTGGTGCAGATTAAATGCTATATGAAACATTGTCATAGCCGAGGTGCATTGCATTTGTGACATAAAGGGGTCTAATCTACTCCATGACCATAACAACAATTCCAAAAAAATGGAGATTTTGGTCTTGCCAACTTTTACGGAGACCACCAGGCACCAGAAGAAGCAGCCTCTCACTAGCCGTGTTGTAATTTCGTGGTACCGTCCACCTGAACTCCTGCTTGGTTCAACGGACTATGGCGTTACTGCTTGGTTTAGCTGAACTTTTTAAAGGGAAGCCTATCATGCCTGAGGTAGAACAACTACACAAGATCTTCAAACTCTGTGGATGATCAGTACCTTCTGAAGAGTATTGGAAGAGATCGAAACTTTCAGATTGCCACCATCTTTAAACCTCGGAATCCTTACAAGCGATGTGTAGCCGAGACGTTAAAGAGTCTTCCTTCTTCAGCTTTGCCCGTGGAACCACAGCTCATGCCCAGTGGCGTGCTTAGATTATATGAGGCCTAAGGCAAAATTTAAAAAGAAAAATCTGTATAGAAGTAGCTTTGAACTTGGGGCCCTTGGACACACACCAACTTCACTCTACCACTACACTACAATGATCTTTCTAAATTTTGAGGCTCCAAAAATTGTATATTTATCTGGGGGCCTGGGGCAAAAGTCTTTTTCAATACATGGTAGGCACGCCTCTGCTCATGCCGTTCAAAGAATCAAAGCGATATAAAAAAAGGTTTGAAACACAGTAAATCAATGACGTTAACTTGTCTCACACTTTTGGTCTTTTCAAGTTCTTTACGACAAAGCCTTTACCAAAGTACCAAACCAAACAAGACGACAAAGCCTTCACACAGGAAACTGATGTGAAGCTTCGAGAGGAGGAAGCAAGACGGTAACAGCCAGATTCTACTAGTTATCATAAAATAATTGCTCGTCTATGCCTTAATGAACACTGACCAATCCTAATTCTCTCTTATACACCAGAAAGAAAGGCAGTAAGGATCGAATGAGTCGAAACAAGTATCTAAAGAATCCAAACCTGTGCCGGCGGCTCCAGATGCCAATGCTGAGATACTAGAATCAATGCAAGTAACTAAAGAAACATTCATTATGATAATTTGTAAAGTTTGTATTCTCAAGTAAATCACTGGTGTGAAGAAAATAAACGAAAAAGAAAATCTGGTTTGATACACATACACTCAGAACTCGTCGCGATGGTAATGACTTACGAATTCACTCACTCTCACCCTTAGTTTTTTTATCTTTTTTCTTTTATACAGAATTCGAAACTGAACCGAACCAAACCAAGCGCAAATAAAAACCGGTTCAATATTGACCCGAACGAAAAAGAAAGGTTTCTCAACGCCGGATTATTGAGAGTATGAGCCGAATGAGGAGGTGAAAAGCCCATCAGGCTATATCCCTACCTATATATTGAGATTGCTAGGGTTTGCATCGTCGTCCCCAAAATCGGCTTCGATATTTTTGAGAGCAAGCAGTAATGAGATTATTAAATTTTGACTCTTTTGGTCATGGTTCTCTCCCACTTCGTCCATATGACATCCGTGAATGTCCTTTAGGCAGATGGAAGAGGGAGGTCAAGCCCAAGGAGGAGGAGCTTAAAATTGAAAGTTCGGATGAGCCAAAAAGCTTACCTGAGGTTTGTAATTCTTTTAATTTCGTCAGTCAGTTGTTGTTTAATTCGCTAATCTCTCTCTCTATATATATAAAACAGGATGAGAAGATGTCTGAGGCTACTACCTCCACGCCTCCTCCTCCTCTGTCAAGGTATGTATGGTGATGGTTGATACTGTTGATTCTTGTAGCTCGCTAATATTTTAATGTGCTATATGACTCAGTACTGTGCACAAGCAATCCCTCCGCATGGCTGATTTGGCGTTGGAGAACAAGAAGAAGAAGCAACCAGCACCTAAGGCAATCCACTCTATGGAGAGCAAAGCTAGCACCTAATTGCATGCTTGCGTGTTTAAAAAATTCCTTTTCAAAAAAATCCAATTAAAACAGTAAAAACAACATGTAGCAGAGAATCATCATTTCATGAAAGCAAATCAAAAGGCAAATAACAGTACAAATTAAAGATGGAAAATTAATAAGTTCTCGGAGTTACAAACTCTTTAGTTTGAGAATAGTGATATTTATTATTTAGTGTATGCTGCTATGCCTTTTAAATATATACTACTCCATCCGTTTCGAATTAATTGTCATTCTGGAAGAAAAATTTCGTTTTAAAATAGAGATAACTTATTGATACACCCCAAATGGAGTCTATATTAGTGATTTGCCAATAATGGGACTTATCCATTTTGTATGACGAAATTGCCTTTTCTTTTACATGCATGTGACTTTCTCTCCTGACATTCTTACACTCTTTTTCTCCTGACACTCTCTTTCCCATAGAATTGACAACCTCTCTTTCTCTTTCCTTCGATTCCGCTTCTTTCTCATTCTTAAACTCTCTTATCATATTAATATCTTCTTCTTTTTTTGTGTAAAAATTTATTATTGCGAATAAAACTTATTACTATCTTACACTTTTCTTATGAATCTAAATTATTTTAATGACATCACATTCTGAAAAAATCAGCATTGAAGTTTTTTCAAAATCGTCGAGATGTTAACACTTATATTAGCTGTTAACAAATAATGTAGATGTCAACAAAAGTGTTAATTGTTAACAAATACAGTACCAAATGTATTAACAAAGGCATTAACTGTTAATAAATTTTGTAAATGTTAACTGATGTGTTAGCTGTTAACAAAGACATGTATTACAAGTGTTAACATAGATGTTATAAGTTGTTAATAAATTTTGTAGATGTTAATACATGTGTTAGGTATTATATGTTAATAAATAAATATTCTTGAAGTTTCATTTCTCTATCAAAATGAGTAAACTTAAAATTCATTTACATATAAAATTGTAGATGAGAAAAAAATCAAGAAAAAATAGTGTAAAAAGAAAGAAATGAATATGAAAAAGAGATGTGTGAAAAATATGTGTGGTTTAAAGAAACAAAGGAAGAATTGTTAGAGAGAGAGTGTCAGATATAGGCAATAGGATTCAGAAGCGCATTTTCGTCCAACACCAACCAAATTGTAAGAAAAATTGTTTTAATGTCAACTCATGTGTATTTGCCTAATATGGGCTTCCATTTTGGGCATTTGCCTAATTCTCTCTTCAAAATAAGTGACGTTTTAGAGTTTCTAAACAAAATTTATTAGTTTTATATGACATTCTATTTTTCTATTGGTTAAAAGTGGTTAGGTGTATAGGTAATTGTATTTTTTCTTGAAAATATGTAAAATTTAATGTTTCCTTAATTTGTGTGCAAAAACGTAGAAGGACAATTAAAATGAAACGGAGGGAGTAGATCGAACCCGCGCAACCGCGCGGGTATTTGTTTTCATTTATTTTTATATAAATATTTTTTTTTACTTCTAAATTGGTATATATTATATAAGGTGTGTATATCGAAAATGATGATTAATTATTATATAGTATACATTAATTATTGTTAGAAAATGAGAATTTTGTTATTTTTAAAAATAAACTATATAATTTTTAAAGTTAACATCAAAAATATATAAATAATTAACTTAAACTATTACAATATTAAATTATATAAGTTTAATTTAAACATGTATTTTATTATAATATATATAAATCCAATGGATCATCTAATTTTTATTAACCCAATAAAAATTTCTAGTAAATGTTATTAGTGAATCTAATGAATATTATTAATGATTGAATAATGTAATGTTATAAATTCTATTAGATGGTCCATTTTAAAATATCACAGTGAAGTTATGACTTCTCTTTTAATATATAAGATATAACATTAATAATAAACTCACACACTACATTACTAAAGAGCACACGTCTTTATATTAAAATGGTAAAATTTGAAAGCATGGTTGCGCCATAATTTGTAGGGCTGGGCATCATTACTCGTTACTCGCCTTAAACTCGGTATTTGACTCGTACCCGCTTTAAAAATTCAAGTACTCGGTGTTGTCAAGGCAAGTAATAAGGCGACAATTTTCATTACTTGTAAGATTAAGTCAAGTATCAAGTATCATTATTATATTTTGTATTTGACTCGTTCTGCCCCGTTACTTGTTCCATTACTTGCTATTTGTTACATAATCTATTAATTAGTTTTTTCATATTTGTCTTTTCTTTTACTTGCATTTAGGACTAGACATAAATACACACTATTCTTCTTATATTTGTTACTTATTTTGTATCCAATCTTGATCTTTGAATACTTGTCGTTATCTAGTTAAGTATTACACAGCAACAAATATTAAAAATTTAGTAATATGATTTGTTATTACTTGTTACTTATCTAGAGAAGATATTCTTGTTATCGTGATCATTATACAATGTTTATATACCATAATATACATTTTTTAATTTATCTTTTTTATAATATGAACAAATATTCTATTTAAAGTAATTTACATGTTACTTTAAGTAAAATAAACAAAACAAATTTTCATGTCTATTTCTAACAGAATATTATTTAGTTAGGAGTTCTTAAATATTCNAGAGAAGATATTCTTGTTATCGTGATCATTATACAATGTTTATATACCATAATATACATTTTTTAATTTATCTTTTTTATAATATGAACAAATATTCTATTTAAAGTAATTTACATGTTACTTTAAGTAAAATAAACAAAACAAATTTTCATGTCTATTTCTAACAGAATATTATTTAGTTAGGAGTTCTTAAATATTCTTAAAAAGCTCGTAAATAGTGCACAAGTACTCGTAAATAGTAAGTAATAGAGCAAGGCAAGTAACTTGCAAGTCGTTTATTTTTCATCAAGTACTCGGAATAGTAAGTACTCGTTTTAAACAAGTCAAGTACAAGTCGAAAATTTTATTATTCGTACAAGGCAAGTCAAGTCGCGAGTACATGCAAAATAGCAAGTACTCGCCTTGCGCCCACCCCTAATAATTTGAATAACATGTACAGAAGAAAAACGAAGTGAAGCATGATGCATGATTTTTCCAATTTCAGATTTTGCAACCATTCTTAAATTTTTTTTCTAAGAAAGTTTTTTTTGGGTAAAATGTGGTTTCAACTCTTTGTCAGGAACCCAAACATTAAAAATTGTAAATAGTTTCTTCGAGGGTGCATTGAACCCGAATGGCTACAGTCGAAACCACTTTACCACTAGGCCAATTCTACATTGACTAATTTGATTGTTTAGTTGCCTATTGTTCCTTCGCTCAAGAGTGATATGTACAATAGAATCTCTATAAATTAATATTCGATAAATTAATATACACTAAATATCTCTATAAAATAATATAATTTTAGTTCTAAATTGAGTTTTTGGTTCAATTAGTATATCAATAAATTAATATCTCTCTAAATTAATAAAAAAATAAAATTTTAGTGTATTCCTTATAGAGGTTTCACTGTATTCTAGAGACTAAAGACCAATTTCTCGAGAAACTAAAAATTGATACAGACATGTAGCTAAATATATCTCTCTAAATTTTGTCTTAATTTGATCAATGTTTCCAGAAGAGCAATTATGCATCTTTTCAACACTGAAGTTTATCATCCTACTTAGTATCTGAAACATCAAAGAAAAAAGTATTTTAATGTACTCAATTCACGGTAAAAATTTCAAAATAATCCAGATCATTAGACCATAATTAACCATAGGTTCTTAAGACGTGGTTCTTAGCGGAAATTAAGAAACCGTTTCTTAGCTTTTAACTACAAACGCTAAGAACCAGTTCTTAAATAAGGTATTTAAGAACCGATTCTTAACATTTTTAGTTAAAAGTTAAGAAATAGTTTCTTAACTTCCGATAAGAACCCCGTCTTAAGAACCTCGGGTAAATTAATAGAATTGCTTTTACCTTTTATCAAAGCCTCTTTGTCCCTATTGCACCATATCTACTACTGGTTTCTTTCTTAGAACTTGCTCCTCTTTTCTTTCTTTTTTTTGTCCGTGAAGTCTCTTTGCACTGGTCAAATCTCCAACAACTCGGATCCACCATATATCCACTCCTTGTCGAACCTTCTTAGCTTTAACAGATTCTGATGAAGGAATATGCTGCCTTATCTCGTCTAAGCCAGTTCAAAAAAAGAATCTCGTCTAAGCCAACGCAACTGCATAGAGGAATAAGATAGATCGTAACTGGAGAATTTGGGTTGCTGACTGGTTTACTTTTTTTTCTTAACACTTGAATATATTGATGAAGAGGTACGTTCCATGTATCATCATAACGATGAACACAAGAACCAACCAGAAAAAGTATGAGAGTACAAGCACCAGTAAGCACCATAAATGACAAGCTTTAAAAAGCCAGAAAAGAAAACAGAACATTGAAAACAGAGTATAGGGAACAGAGACCAAAAGAGGTCAATGCACAAGTCTCCACTAACTCTAAGCTGGATGAAACGGCCTAAAAATTGAGAGCCTCCCCGATGAGATGATCTTTAAGCCAACACGGAGCTATCCCTTGTGACACTATCAGCAATACACAGAGCTGAATTATTACGGACCAGGGAAGTGTACTCCAGAGACCAGTTCTGAAGAGTATCCAGCCTTGATAGAATTTGCCTCACCAGAGGTTCTACACTCAGAAACCGTCCTGGATACAACATCACCTCGCGCGTTGCGACTGAAGAGGATTCAAAGATGACACTAGAGATACGGATGTGTCCCAGCTAGTCAACAGCCCACCATAGCCCTAGCAAATCACTTTCCAACGACGACACCACCCTAGAATAAGAAGCGGCTGTGAGCAATGCAGTTCCCAGCATGATCACATAGAAGCCAAGCCGCTCCTGAGTTCTAATGTGGTCCTAACCAAGAAGCACCAATATTACATATGACCCAAGACATCGGAGGGTTCCTCCAACGGACTTCCTGACTCAGTGTAACCATCTCTGAGGGCGTCGAAACAGGAAGCACGCCGTGGAGGTTAAGCCAAATCTCAGCTTCCTCCAAAGCACGTGCAGGAATCACGTCAGATGAGGGACAAATCTGTTCAAAACAGAAGGTGTTACTAGCCTTCCACAGGTGCCAAAGGATCCATGGGAAAGGCAAACGCACCTTGGGTGGTGGGCGT